TTTCGTTGACTAGCATTCTTGGTCCTAGTTATTGTGTAAATATAGTTAGTTTGGTTTTGTTTCTTGCAGCTTCAAAAGTTATTGTTAGTGCTAAGTATTTTATTTATTTCCTTGCATGCCTTAGATGAACAGTAAGGTAATCGTTGTTTGTACTATTCTACATTTTTGCTACAAACAAAAGAGTTCTCAAAGGTTTCAGTGAGAAAACTTTTTAATCGGGTAGTTTATTTTCTAGGTTGTGAACTTTGTTAAGAGTAATTTATTTTTTTAAACATTTTTGAACAAAACATTTCTGATGGAATGAAACTGTAACAATAAAGTATACTGACTTGAACTCAGGCTATATTTCAACATCAAATTTACCAAGAAAAAATCATAACTGGGAATACAGCTATTAAAAAGTGTATACTCTTGCATGATGTAACTAAATTTTTGACAATAAACATAAAACAACATCTTAAATAAAACAATACATAAACAAGACAATAAAACATAAACATCTTAAATTAAAATAATATACTACCAAATGAAATATTATCTTTAGATTAACCAGTTCATCAAACATGACATATATAACATTTTTTATTGATAGCATATACAATTTCTAAAATTTTATGTAAAGCTTGGATTTGCCATGTAAAATATGTATTTTTACTATTTTTATGTCATGTTTTCTTAATGTAATTTGTACAGTAATGTTAGTACATTTTGAGTTAGAGAAATACAATATGTAGCTCCTATAGTTTCCTAGAGTAGCAGTAGGGTGCTATTTTAAGTTAGTTTTCTAATGGCTGTCACTATTGTAATATTAATAAATTATTTTGCTATAGTTGTTTTATTCCTTTTACTTCCAAATCACAAACTGTAAGCATTGACAATTATTGGTCATTGGATCTTTAAGCTAAAAATATATCTTAGCTTTAAGAAAAGTATTGAACTTAAAAACTATTACAGAGAAAGGCAATTTGGTGGTAACATGACGGGTAACCAGTTTAATAGTATATTACATTATTACAACTCCCGTTCGAGACAAAGTCAAGTGTGTGGGATTACCCTAAGAGTCTGGTAAACATATTTTGGACGAGTGACGTAGGCTACAATATTTTACGCCATACTACTCTTAGCTAACTTAACAATAACAATTCACTGTACCAATCCTTATATATTCCCACCAACTAAAGGACTAACAAATCACTACTCATGGTTATGTTTTTGCTTATAACCACTCATTGTCAGTGGTTGGTATTGCCAAATAAAACCAGCTTGGTTGGTGTCCGGTAAAAACTCATTACAGTACTAACTGTAGTACATATAATGAAACCAGCACATTTAATCTAGAGGTTAAAATACCTTTAATCCGTCAATGTGATCAAATATCACCGATGAGCGGCGACCGGTTTCAGCCCAGCTGTGGGGCCATCTTCAGGCGATGAAGGAACATAAATATCACTCCGAAGAGGTCGTCATAAAGTCTATAAATACGTCACGAGAAACAACACATAAATACATTTTTTTTACAAATAAACGTGTGGCCACAAATTAACTGCGCGGCGGACAGTACGCGTACATTAAGTTGCTAGTCCAGACTCAACATAGTCACATATTTCTTATGTAAAACCTAATACTGATGATATTCTACGTCCAAACTATTTTGAACTCTTTCATTTATTTTATTTCTCAATTCGTATTAGTAGTTTTAATCATTAATAAAATGTTATTCTAACTTCAGAACACTTGGTGTTGGAGCTGAAGCTTTGTTTATATTGGGTATATTATAGATTTCTGCATTTGATTATTTATAAGAAAGGACCTGCTATTAGGAATGTTTTACACATGTAAAATTTGATGAGCTAGTTTTGATATCAGTTCAACAGTTCAGATTTTCTAGGCTACATGAGACTGACACAGCTATTTGTACACGGGAGCAATGTTTACGCACTCGTCTGGAATGATCTCGAGTGCAGCAAAGGCCTTTTGCACTCGTGTTACACTTTATATTTTTCCTACAGTCACTATATAAATAATTAGTCTTTCAAACACTATACAACACGACAAATATGTTGCGTAATATATAAATATACAGGGTGTTTGTGAACTCTCTCGAAAAAATTCACAGGATTATTCCTTGGGTTGATACATGAATATTTTACATTATAAACGTGGGTCGCCGGAGCCTCGTTTTCTGTCTGTCTGTCTGTATGTGTTTTTAATAAATAACTTTATAACTCGAGTTTGAATCGAGGTACAAACTTTAAATTTGACACACTTATGTATTTTAACGTGTTACACAAACATGCAAAATTTCATTTCGTTGACTATAGCCGTTTCAAAATGGCGGCCATCTAAAATCTTTGACCTCAAATTACATGAAAACCACTAGAGTTACAAAAAAAACACAAGAATAACAAAATGTGGGAAATTTTATGCCAAATCAAATGACACCTAGAGTTTAAAGATCGAACAACAAACAGCTGAGTTATAAACTTTTTAATTAATTAATAATTTACTGGCTTTTAATTGTTATTGTTTATTCTTGTACAGAGTACATTACGTAACCTTAAACAGATCTCAATAGTTAAGGTAAAAATAGGACACTTAATACATTTACCATCTAGTAAAAAAACTAAATGTTGTTGTTAGGGCAAACCAGCTGTCTTACATTGTTGTAACAATTTAGAAAGGATCAGATGATTTAAAAAAATAGACAATAACAATTAAAATCCAGTAAAGAAATTATTAATTATTAAAAAAATTAATAACTCAAAACAATTATGTGATCATCATCTCAAAATCGTATGTCCAACCAGCTGTCTTACATTGTTGTGACAATTTAGAAAGGATCAGATGATTTTAAAGAATAAACAATAACAATTAAAAGCCAGTAATGAAATTATTAATTATTTAAAAAGTTTATAACTCAGCTGTTTGTTGTCCGATCTTTAAGATCTAGGTGTCATTTGATTTGACATAAAATTTCCCACATTTTGTTATTCTTGTGTTTCTTTTGTAACTCTAGTGGTTTTCATGTAATTTGAGGTCAAAGATTTTAGATGGCCGCCATTTTGAAACGGCTATAGTCAACGAAATGAAATTTTGCATGTTTGTGTAACACGTTAAAATACACAAGTGTGTCAAATTTAAAGTTTGTACCTCGATTCAAACTCGAGTTATAAAGTTATTTATAAAAAACACATACAGACAGACAGACAGAAAACGAGGCTCCGGCGACCCATGTTTATAATGTAAAATATTCATGTTTTAACCCAAGGAATAATCCTGTGATTTTTTTTGAGAGAGTTCACAAACACCCTGTATAAAAGTTGTGATATATAAAAAGGTGAGTGGTAGCAGAGGTATGTGACGCTCTATAATATTTCACTGTTGATGCTGTTGTTGATCTTGTTGTATCTCAAATCATTATTATTGTTGTTCATTTAATGCTTTATTATTGTTAACATTTCATTATTTATTATTGTTACTCGTTTAATTTCTATTACTGTTATTCTTTTCATTGTTTATCATTGTTAATGCCTAGTAAAAAACACAAACATTCACTGTTACAGCTGTCAAACTTTATATTTGTAAATTCGTGTATTGCCGTTGGTAAATAAAATAAATAAAAACACGTTTTTAGGTAAGGTTAAACCATAGATTAAACATTTATGTAACAATAATAAAGCCACGAACGGAATGGGAAATACTGCACCAACAGATTGTAGTCGTAGTATCTTTAATTTAAGTGTTACTTATTATCAATAATACAGTTATAAACAGTAATAATCAGTATAAACACATAATAAACAAGTAGATTGTTCTTCAAAATATGCCAATAAAACATTTTCAGACAGTTTTGTAACTTTCTTACTTATGCGCCAAGAGGAAAACAGTTCTTATGCTCGTTCATATACTTCTTTCTTGACATTTCAAGGTAACAGGTTTAATGAAACATGTCTACCATTTCACAATCACTTTCACTGAGTTCAATATTTTTTAACATGTAAGGCCCATCTTTCAAATACTACACTTCAGGTTGTGTTCAAACCAAGCCAAGCGTGGAACTAAAATAGAACATAAACTATATAAACACGAAATGACAGGTTAAATCGTAGTTATAATAGTTAATCAGCTGATCATAGTATTATTATCTTTAGTGTTGCCATCCTATTTCCAAGCGTGCACGGATTACGTGCATAATAAAACCACGCTGTTTTGTGTTGTTTGGTTGGAATCCTGAAAACTAATAAAGTGTTTTATATATTAAAAGTTTAGCAAACTACAATATTTTACAATATTCTCCATAAGAATAACATAGGAGTTTTAAAGTTTAAAATTTTTTCCGTTACCAATAACCGTACAAAAACACTTTGATAAACTAAATCATTTGTTTTTTAAGCTCTTTAAAAAATATTTTTAGAGAAAATGTGAAATTTTATGTTTTAAGGGTCAAAAATGAGAAACCCAATTTTTACCCCATAATACTCCAGTAAACCCCTGTTCCCATAGTCCGATCTAGCTGGTTCGCGAACTCATTCAAGTTCATCCCACCTTACAAATTTTAACCAAATTTAATCAAAATCAAGGACAAAAATTACTCAAGTTATCGCGTTCACGGACACACATATATACATATATTAAAATTTGAACGAATAGTGTTTTCTGGCCTCTGGGGACATCAAATGAATAAGTAAATCAGTTCAGGGCCTAGGTCTTACCGTGCCACCTACGGTAATAGCTACTACCCTATAGGAAATTCTCTAAACACTTTATTAAATTAAATATAAATTTTGGCCTATTAAATAAACTACTATTATTCTTCTTTAAAATTAAAATATCAAAATTGAAGAAAACTCTCTAATCACCTGTTGGCAATCTATAGTAAAAGAAATAACACCCCAACAAAAAAAGCTAAAATGACCTTGATGTAACTCTCACATTAAGAGGAATTTGATGGGACCAAACAAAATAAAAGACGATTCCCCCACACTCCTCCATCGCTCCCAATGTCTACCTTCCATGACAGTGTAGGTCAAGGCCCAGCAGTCAGTGTGATGGAAGTTCCCGCGCTGGTGTTACTGCTGCTCCTCTCAGCTGTTTCTACCATCAGCTGTCAGGAAGCAGGATCAGCTGGTAGAGCGTCCTTTGTTGACAGCGTGTGGAATATGCTTCGCGACGCGTTCTCGTACTTCTTCAAGCCCATCATGAGCAAAGGTAGTTTTGAATACTTAATGGATAATTGTAGGGTAGTCAGTATTGTTGCGTCTTCTGTTGATAATTTTATATAGTATAGTTCATGTACTAACACAGAATAAACGTTTTTGTGTATTTCAATACGACTGGCATTTGCAGGGTTGTTGTAAGGAAACAGTCCAAATGTGTCTTGTTAACACTAATATCCTACACCCAAATTTTGTTAGAAAGCACATTAATCTGTAGAAGTATGAGGATGAAAAAAATGTAATGTGGGTCTTGAACGGATCTTGCTTAAGATCCATCTAGCAGTTTGGAATTTGAAGGCTATCTTCAGGCTACTTAGACGATTAACCTCAAAATTTTCTGGTAACGGTGTCACCGGAATATCACTTGAAGGATTTTTGCTTATCAGACATATGTTAACATGTTACTTTACAAAAAAGACGTGTGTGATTGCATTCTTGCAGTCCAGAATGCTGCTACATTACATGCCACACTTCCACCGTTTATTTTTATACAAATGCAAACAGAGACTATAAGACTAAATAAATTACTTTAATTTTAATTTTAGTCATATCATGCTACGCATTTGCGTAATGCAAATAAAAAAATAATAATAAATGGATGGATTTACTTACAAGTAGGCTTAAAGAGTTCAAAAGGAAGCATGATTCTGTAATTTTATGAGGTTTCGATCCCTGTATTGAGGAACCCAATTAGTTTGAGACACACTTAGCTTTAACTAGTGAACATTCAGAGATTTTGCATACAGTTTGTAATTATTAACAAAGTGTGCTACTGTACTTAGACAACACTCTAACATCGCTGACTGCAACAGTAATGCTAAGCGATCTATTAGACTAAGAAGACGAGTTCTGGTTACCGGTTCAAACAACGGAACCTTTCGTCCTAGAAATCGTTCCCACATAGATGTCGTCTCAAACTGGGTCAAATTTGTGGGATTACCTTTCTATTTCGTTGTTATAAGTTTATTTAATGGCATTGACTTTGAATTCTGCAAGTAGACTTCTCATCGTCATAGTTATCAAACCAACTCAAAATATCTCTCACTGACAGCAGAATGAGTTCCTTCCTTTGATTGAGCTTAAGCTTGCTTGCATCAATGTAAGTGAATAGTGTGAGTGGAATTCAACCCAGGAACAAAATTATCGCAGAAGTAGGGATCCACAAACTAATTAAAATACCTGGCATTATAGTACGAAACTAGAGTATTAATTATCTAATATTTACTTTTGACAAAATTACCTAACAAATTAATACATAGTATATAGGATATACACAAAGTGATATGTGCGATCTCGGAATGTTTAGTATTAATTCCAGGTAACAGAAGTTTTTCTATCAGTCTATGAATAGTACCAATGTGTAGCATAAAAGTATGAGATGCATAAAAATAAAATATCATTTAGGGCCATAACTTGAAATATACTGCAATAATCAATTTAACCTTCACCACAATATGATATTACAGGTGGTATAAAATGCAAGCCATAAACCTGAATATAGGCTATAAAACAGCACCTGTGCTTAATTGCATTTTATGAGTTACCATATAAGTTACTGTAGTGTATTTTATAATAATTATAAAGCAAATCACACTTTGAAATTTAAAAGTAGTTTGGTGGTGATTATAGTTTACATCAGATTAAACTTCAATTCAACATTGCTTAGCATACAAATATAAAATGTTTTTCTGGCGATAATAGTTTTAAACTAAATTCAGTCCATATATACACAAGCCTGATTGACAATGTTGTTTGCATTATGCTTAGAATAAATATCAAACTCGAACAAACCCGTACATTCTTAATCAAGATAAATTATAAGAGAATGTATTTAAGTCAAATAAAATAAAGTTCATTTAATATATCTGTGTTGTTTTAATTTATTTCTTCAGTGATTATAAGATTCAGCGGCCGACTGTTAAATATTAGGCTATTTTTTTCGTGTAATAGAATTTGGTTTGATCAACATATTTTGGTTTGACATTCATCATTTAATGATAACTAGTGTCCCTGTTGCTCGAATTCGAGCAATTGATAAGTATTACAACCGTTATTTTTAAAACTAATAACAGTCATAATTTCTGATGACTTTAAAAGATTCGACTCAAAGATTATGGATATACTCAAGATGTAACTAACAGATCGATATAATCTACATTTCTTGTAAATATCTTATAATTTTTCAAAAGCTGATCTTGTTTTTTAGTGTATTCTAAAAATAGCCTTACTCATAGCCGCATTAGGTTGTCCATAATAACGATTATAAATTTAAAAAAACATTATTTCTACTTCTTCTCCTTGGTGGTGTTCTGTGACTTTCCTATGTTACCATAGTTTGCAAATCGGCTCTTTCAATGATTACTAAGAAATGCAGCACAGTGTTAATTGAGTTTTATTTTTAGTATATCAATTCATCTAGGCTCTCTAGCTTTTAGCGAATTTCCCATATAGGGAATAAGCTATTACCGTAGTACTCATGGTAAGACCTGGACGCGGGACCGATTTTTTTTTTCGTTTTGAGGTCCCTAGAGGCCAAAAACACCATCCGTTCAAATTCATATATATATATATTTATATATTTATATATTTATATATATATATATATATGTGTCCGTCAGCACGATAACTCGAGCAAAAATGATCCGATTTTGATGAAATTTGGTACAAACGTGTAAACCTACGTTTATTCAATTGAGTTCGCGATCCAGCATGATCGGACCATGGGAACGGGTGTTTACGGGGGGTTTTATGGGGTAAAAATAGGTTTTTCCCATTTTTGACCCAAAAAACATAAAATTTAGCAATTTATTTCCAAACCATTTTGTAGAGCTTCAAAAAACAAATAATTTAGTATATTGAAGCGTTATTATGCGCCTAATGGTTACGGAGAAAATTCCAAAAAATTGTAAATTTAAAATTCCCATGTTATTCTTATGGAGAATGAGTAAACTGTTGTAGTTTGCTTGTTTATGGACATATTTTGATCAAATTTGGAAATGTTTTTATTTCTTACTAACTATTAACATTTTACAAAAAAAAAACAGTTTTACCCTCCCTGATGCAGCAAACCTAAGTACTTGTTAAACTAATTCTATTTAAATCGGGAATAAATGTTATATTTTTAAGTAGACATTTCAGTGTAAATCCAATCAGTCAAATGGAAATTCGCTTAGTCTGCAGGTTTGCTGCGGCGGGGGTATTTTCCATTGTAATATTTACGCCAACACAAATTCAAATAGTAAATATTTCATTTCTACCAAGTCAGTAAATGTTTGTAGCAAACTGTTAAATTTGCAAACTTATTGACTGTTTACAATTAACATATGTTCTTCTTCTCACTTTAAATTTCTGACAACAGCTGGAGTTTTATAATAATTTTTGTTTCCTATGTTAATCTTATGGAGAAATATGAAACTTTAAAGGGCCCCAGGGCCCCACCCTCTAATTAATTCCCTAAAAAGTAAGTTTCCTGCACAACTTCACGTTACGCTCTTTCCAATGACACCAAAAACATATAAATCGGTTCAGTAGTTTCGGAGGATTAATTGTCACAAAAAACCTGCTTGCGTATTAAATAAGTATAGAATAGATAAGGTCTATACGTTCTTCTACACTCAGTTTTCTTCAGCAGCAGAGAAAAGAATTTATTTATAAAAATAAATACCTCTGCCTTAAAAAATAAGGTTGCCAATGACACAGAAAAATAGTACACATAAAATATCGAAGGATACAGTAACTAGTATTATTGAATTCATGATTCAATTTATTTCCATTCCAGCGGGGAACATGGTGTACGGTAGATCCGTAGAGCGTCAGTCCTACAGACAATACCAGCTGTTGAGGGCGGTCCCCAGACCGACGAGGACCTGGAGGAGTTGGAGAGTCTGGAGGAAGAGTCTGGAGTCATATTCTGGAACACTCCCTCCCTGAATCACTCTCTGGACATGGTAGTGTCCACCTGGGGTGGTGGATGACGTCAAACAGTACCTGGCAGACAGTGATATAGACTATACTGTACTCAGCGTCAATGTCCAGGTAACTTTAATACTTAAAATACTATTTTAAACTAAGTATGAATGGAGATGAGTGTGGGATGAGTGGTGCGATCTTGTAGTCGTGTCAGTGACTAAGGCCGACATTATTCCTCAGACACAGCTGTTAATTAATAGCCCATGAAGCTAATGGCAACTAAGGGACCTACAGTTTATAGTGGAATCCAAACCACATTTTTGCCTTGGTATATACGAATTGGTCTAATTATCAGGATAGTACTGCGGATAGTCGTATTAATCACTCGTGTGGACGTTAATCTACACCAGGGAGTATCGCATCGACAGTGCATGCCTATAAATATCCACAATTTGTGACCTCCTAGTAGCTGGATTACAGTACGACGCAACCGTATGGACCCCACTCGCACATAGATTCACCAGATGTGGCAAGTGATTACAGATTTGATAAAGATTGTGCCTCCACGGAATGTTACAATAGACATTAAATACTGCAATGGAGACTTCCTATTCTATCTTACAATCTGAAACCTATCCAGACGTTTTTAATATACAGTTAAGTTTGATTCTTTCCAGTAACGTTTTATTCATATCCAGTAACGTTATAGTAGCGTTGGTTAGTCTATGATAGTAGTTTACGCAACGATTGCGTTAAGTTAGTCTTTACAACACGTGTGATACTGTTATGATTTAACAATGCTAGAATAAGAGTAGCGATGGTTGGCGTCAATAGAGGAATTGAGCTACATTAGGTCAAAAGCTCACTTTACAGTGTGTGGTTGACATCTACGTGCTCATAGAGTGCACCCGCCTACTATACATAAGAGATAATCAAAGCAGTACGAGAGTGAATGTAAATTTAAATATTGAGATTACTTTTATATTTTTACATCATAATATTTTTATATTTCTATAATCAGTTATATACATTATTTTAGAGTGACTCTCTGATTAAGGTCTTGCTGTTTATATTTTTTGTTCATTTTTTTATTAGAAGTTTCAGTTTTGCTCGATTTCGAGCAACGGGTCACCTATCTAGTTACCATAAATACTGTATCAGGTACAATTAGAGATATATTGCATATTTTTGGACAACTGAAAAATATAGGGAAACAGTTAATTTACAGTTAGACTTCAGCATTGAATATGTGGTCCACAACGAGTTAGGTGAAAAAGTGGTTTTCAAAATAAACCAGAAGCACATTTTCATTAATCATTTTAACCTTATTTTGTTTCGTCCATTTAATGAATTGCTGGTATGTAATTTCATACCTTTGTTTCGATTTCAGTGGCAAACGATTAGCACAAACAGTTTGTGCTCTCATTTCCATCTCGTCAACTTTACTTTCACTAACTGTCATTATTAAGTTTGTTTAATCTACCTTCCTTTAACCTCCATTACTTTATGTTAAGAATACGCGAGTATCAACCATCGATCTCTATTATTGAGCGTAGCTCTTTGGGATCAACTTCAATGCAACAAATAGAGAAACATCACTCAATAACGGCTGAACGCATTTCAGCCAAACTTAACAAAATTACTTAGACTAATAATGAGATGGTTTTTAAACAAGCAAATTTCAATTAGATAATACTAGTGCAATTTAAAACGAACTTAAAATTTCCAATTTTTAACATTAGGCTTATGGGACTAAAGTAGCCATATGACAGTTTTTTGTTTACAAGAAAAATGTAAACAAGAGAATCATAAGGTATTTCTTAACTTTCTAGACTTTTCTTTTAAACGTTTTTAAACCATTCCTATGATTTTAATAAACAAGAAAATGCCGTTAAAACATTTTTTCAAGGCGCGGAATTCACTGAAAATTGAGAAAATATACGGAACTACTTTCTCAATGCGTGGAGCATAAGCAAGGAGCGGAGGGATACGGACCGCGGTGACTACTTTCTTGAGGACCTATTTGTGTTGCCAGCTGATTAGAATTTAGAAACAGCCAATGTTAGAAATCAGAATCTAATAAGCGATATATCGAACCGCATCGAAATCGATATTTAATCCGATAATACCTCACAGGTTATATTATGTTGAATTACATCGACGGTGCAGTAAGTTATTACACTTATTAATAAAACGCAGATTGAACACTGATCTAATTTCGGCATGTGGGGAAGGTAGGTCGGGGTTTATGAGTATTCGTGGTTTATGAGTATTAGTGTTTTGAAGTAAGGTTAGATTAGGAAGGTAAAGTGTAGGTTATAGGAAGGTGATCGGGTTGTTTATTTGTGTTGCACCATATAATTTTTATCTTTTGGAATAGTTGGTTAAACGGGGAAACGATTACAAAAATGCTTGCATTATGGTATTAACAAGCCATCTACGGTATTCTAGCATTGTCTTTATATAAAGTCAATGATTCTAGAAAATTACTACATAAAAACCAAATGAAAAGAACATTTGGATTTGGACCTTTGACCATAGCAAAACTAACATGTAATTTATGAAATGTGAAAGTTGTATATCATTAAATACTATTCTGTAATATTAATAATTGTTCGGCAAATCCTCATTGTAATGGCTCGGCTGAAAATGGAATCTGCATTTTGTGAAACAGTAATTTGGTAACAATTCAGTAATTTCAAATGTTGATAACAGTAGCCTATCCTGTATAAATATTATTATTTGATTGCCAAGCCACGGGCTATACATACGTCCAGTCACAACCATAATAATAAGTAAATAAATTAATTACCTAGGCTTATAGAAGTCCACTTTTAACCACGGTATGGATAATTGTCAAGGCTTGTCCAGAAGTAGGCTACTAATTTCTAATTATATTATCTACATTGTATATTTAAGGCATGTCTTCCCTTCTTATTATTATTCTGTTTTCACTTAAATCAGCTGAATGCGATGTTTACTTATTACTTATGTTTAGGCCTACATTTCAGCCATTTTATGTTGCACGGTTGAATTTAAATGTCAAATTTCCCCTCCTGTTGTTATACTTTAATACTCGTTTTTTTATAGTTACCGTTTTTTTTATACTTAAATACTTTAACCGATTGTAAGGGTGAAAAATGTAGCCCAATGTTTTTTTGTTGTATGCTACAGTTGCATTTGAATGTTAAATTACCTTTCTCTTTTTTATACTTTACTTTTTGGATGTTAATATCAGATTCCAACTACTGTAATATTTTCATGGTCAAAACTACCATAATGCACTTCTGGAAGAGGTATCTAAATAACAAGATGTAGTAAAAACAAATTTGAATTATTATAATTTTAATCTATAAAACCAGCATTAATACATCTATTGACCTTTTTACATTTAATTACTTATACAAATATCAAATCACGTTTGTTCCGCTCAACAGGCTTTCACCTCTCTGAAAGCAACCCTAGTTACTACAGCGTATCAACAGGAATAAGTCGGATCAACAATTAAAATTGTCAACTGATCAGCTGATCAGCTGATTAGTTGACGTTCGAAGCATTACAATTTTTCTTCTTTTCTCTCAATCCTTAAACCTCATTGGTCCGTTAACCGTGTTGTTATGAGAAAAACTATGCTGTTATGAAAGTAAACAGCTGTTAAGTAAAACTTTTCAATTCTAATAACTGAACTGAAATGGCTACTTTAAAAACTGTCGTAGGTAAAATTCATATCCAGACACGTTTGATTCATATCCAGTTAAGTTTAATTCTGTCCAGTGCGCCGATGTTGCTTACATTTTCCTCTCTAGTTTCTTAGTCACGTAAATAGGCAACTAAGTGTTCAAACCTTCTGGTAAGTGTTTAAATTACAGTGCAAAACCAGTATACTGGGCGATATAAAGTTCACACATATACCATTCATACTATAAATATGATGAAAACGCTGTTATTAGAACCCCATCACATCGGAGGGTTTGGAATCTTACAAAGTCTTTTTATGTCAACAAACTTTCATTGATTCAATAAACGTTAACGTTACTGCGATTATTACTTTGGTTATGGTACAAGACGACAAGCAATGGTTTATACTTACTTACTTACTTGTATACTTGAATTCTTCCTCTTTGACAGAACCAGTCTGATAGATTGCGTTATATTTATTAATGATAAAAATAAAGACTATGTACATTATTTACAGTAATTATACTGAGTCACTAAACTTAACTTGGCCGTTTACTATTGGCAAGGCGGACAGAAACTCATCTAACAAGGGGCTCATCCTCAAGTTCCTTTAAGGAGTACAGCGGCCTTTTAATCAATGCATCTTTTAGTATCTTCTTAAAAGAGGGCGTATCCATCTCCCGCACTCGAGTGGGCAGCGTATTGTAAATTCTTATGGCTGAGCGTGGATATCTACTCGATGTATGGCTGAGACGACAGCGGGGAAAATCTATGTTTTGGGCCCTCCTGGTGTGGTGCGCATGTACTTCTTCTCTCCTAAGGTGAGCCTTTAAGTTGCTCTTCAATAAGGTCAGAATGTCCAGAACATATTGGCTGTATACCGTAAGGACTCCTAGGTCCTTGAAGATAGGTCGGCAGTGATCTAAATAGCCAGCAGATGTTACGATCCTCAAAGCTGCCTTTTGCAAGAGCAGCACATCTTCAGCCGCTGAGGAGTGCCCCCACAGTACCAGCCCATAGGTCACATGGCTGTGGAATAACGCATAGTACACTGACAGCAGAGAATTTTCGGGAATTTCAGGCCTAAGTTTTCTAAGGAGATGGAGGACTCTTGATAGCTTAACGCATACCTGTGAGATGTGTTGGTTCCAACTCAGCCTAGAATCTACCATGAAACCTAGGAGCCTTACCGCTCCCACATCCTCAACTCTTTGTTTTAGGGTGCAGACTAGTGACTGGGTTTTGTCGTCATTTATTTTGAGTCTGTTTGTCACAAACCAATCTTTTGCTTTTTCAAGCAGGTCTTCAGCTTCTGTTGCTAGATAGTTAATATTAACACCCTTGGTCAGTAATGTCGTATCGTCTGCAAATAATAACGTTCCCCCATTCATATGTAAGTCGTTAATCATGATCGTGAATAGGAGAGGGCCTAAAACTGGTCCCTGAGG